ATCCGGCTCCGCGCTCACCTTTTCGACACTGCTGTCCTTCCTGCTTTGGCGTACGCCTCGGAGACCTGGACTCGACGAAAGCAGGATGAGCATACTGTCAGCGTTACTCAACGCGCTTTGGAAAGGACGGTGCTCGGAATTTCTTTATACACGCAAGTGCAGAAGGGAATCCGGAGTTCCGAGCTCCGTCACCGAACGAAGATCAGGGATGCCGTTGATTACGCCAAGAAATCGAAGATTAGGTGGGCCGGACACGTTATGCGATATAGTGATGACCGTTGGACCAGGGCGGTTACTGTCTGGATCCCTCGGGACATCGAACGAACTCTAGGGAGGCCGCCAACGAGATGGTCAGACTTCTTCACGAAAGCTCTGAACGAAAGGAATGTTGAACCACGTGTCTCTGAAGCGAGAACGATTCACTGGACCACTCTGGCTCGTGACAGGGACGAATGGAGACGTTACTGGCGCCCGCTCGAGGAAGTCGATGATCAACGGGACGACAGGTGATACAGGTGATTATGACTGTGTTGAACCTCTGCCAACGGGTGCGACTTTATCGCATTTTTTGTAAGATTTGGATTGTTGACGAAAAGAGGACCAAGAATATTAGACCCTTGAGTGCACTGCATAATCAGTTGGTGTAGATTCAGACCTTGGCGCATCTCGAGGAAACGTTGCGCATCCATTGAGTCTTGAGCTTATGCTCTTTTGCCATAAATCTTTGGGAGATTGAGATCTCCAAATAATAGGAACGGAGCTTGGTGTCTATCATGTCATCAACCGCTTTGAGTTACTGCTTGAACATAACTAACAAACATGAAGGTGCTTCATAAACCAGAGCGAATCTTATACTGGATCAGGCCACGTCAAGGTCTACACACATGAATTCATAATAATCTTTGACCTACTCCTTCAATGGAAGCTGGGGACAAAAATCTTTCTCTCGTTTACAAAAAAGCCGTCACCAGACCTATTGCTCGGATCGCATCTCAGAATTTCATACCGTTTACAATATTCCGCAAACAGGGACTTGTTAATCATAACCTCAGGCAGCCATTTCTCCGTGATTCCTATAACGCTAAAGTTCCCATTACTGATACAAAACAGCAGTTCATCCACATTTTTCGCTAGCGAGAGTATTTTGGTTAAATGTGGATGGTTCACATGCATTGTCAGGCAGGCACACGGAACACCTCACAAACATACACACGCGCACAAATACGTATACGTGCACATTTCACGCTTGTACACATGTTTGCTCAACAGCTATACACATTCTAAATACATACATACATTACACATTTGAACATTTACACATCTACATTTCGACACACACGCAAAAACCCATGCAATCATTCGCTCATACACGTGTACATATCCGATCTGATTCAATGTATAGAATTTTATGCTGTATATTTTCGTATTTGAAGCCGTTGGTTTCCGAGTTGATTCCTTACGTGTGGGATGCTCACGGCACTTGTTCTGTTCTTCTGGGCATCGCCCGATGGATGAAAGCCGGATATATGACGTGTCAACCAGGTTTGTTTCGCAATTGCTTCTGAAAATTGGGATTGTCACTGTCACTGGTCAGGTTCCGTCCAGCCTGGTCAATGTCTAACGGCTCGTTCAATGAGCGGTCGAAACTGTTTGTTGGGAAAAGTTCAGACAATTTCTGTCTGCATATTATTTATTTTATTCATTTATTTATTTATGCGTTCCATGACGCGCTGTATTGGGACATATGGCTGTTCGTGGAAAACAAGAAAACAGATACAGCATAAAAGAAAGAAAAGAAAAAATATCTATATAATCTCTATATTATCTGCTGGAACTGATCTTTGTGGTCGATAAAATATTTCTTTGCTATTGATGGTTGCGTCTTGCTTTTAAGAGAGTGGCCTCCTATAACTTACCTCAGGGAGATGAAGATAATGGGTTTACAAGCCAATCTTGTGTTCTAGACTGGCAGCCACCTTCCTGGAACACTGATTGCGAAGATGAGCCGTGGATGATGGGTGGAGGATTCCTCTGCGAATGTTCTAGGTTAGTGTCTCATTAAAAAGAGAAACTATTTAGGAGGAAGTGCGAGAAAATATCTATGTAAGTGCAGTATTATGTGTGTATCGATGCATGCTGTCATGTTATCGTTTCCTTATTTGCATCTAAGGTGAATGCGGAAAACTAGTCATTATGCGAACAGGATTTTTTAAAGAAAAATCTATATGTGAATTTAGGTCGGCAGGAAACATGAGCATTGCGCTTTTTAAGGATCTTCTGTTGACTACATACGACCTCGGACGTTTTGATTAAATCATCGCTATGATTGTGGATTTCTGCTACCTTATAGCGACTTCATTCAGACTTGTTGCACCCTATGGACCCATCATGCACCTATTCAGCAACAGAACGCTTTTGCCTCTATCAATTGTAAACTACGAAATACTGCCGTACACAAAAGGCGACCTGGTATGCACAGTGTTTTAATGCAGTTTGCTCAGTAAACTAACTCATATCTCCTTCGCGAAAGTACACTTGTAAGAGCAGCATCGATGATGCATGCTGCCATGTTATCGTTTCCTTATTTGCATCTAAGGTGAATGCCAAAGATTATTCTTATTTGAAGAAGATTTTTCGAAGAAGATTCTCTTTGTAAATTGAGGATGGCAGAAAATATTATAAGCATTGCGCTTTTTAAGGATCTTTTGGTGGCATTATCAATAACAAGCGTGGACTATCCGAATGTGTCTTTTGCTCTACAAAAAGAAGTCTTTCTAGACAAGTGAGTCAGTTAGTGCGAATTGTGAAGTAGACCGTAGATTATACCTTACGTAACTTTCTGTTCAGATTCATACTGCCTTTCCTAGAAAACAGCCCTCAATATTGCTTCATGGCTCAAGAACTTCTATCTTCAACTGAGAAAAAGGTACTTTCTCTGCATAGATTGAAATTTTCTCACTAGTGTTTTATAGGTCATATGCTCAGTATCTGCTCATCCTAACGCGCGATCCTTCTTTGAAAGAATGCCCATCTTGGTCTCGTCTCTAAGAGCTAAGTACAACGATTTACACAAGGATAGCTTTGATGTTAGCAACTCTTCCCGTACTTGTTTTGATGTTGCTCTTTCTGTCCTTTACGGCGGTAGCGCCTCGATGTTTCTTCATCTGTGAGATTCAGCTTGACGAAATTGAGAAGTGGTATCCGACGATCTTCGATGAAATATTCGATCGGTACCCAGCTTGGTTGGATGCCCGTCTACTGGTGGATGCCTATGACTCAGTTCCGACGAAAAAACTCGTGCAAGTGGCAGCTGCGACATTGTTCGTCAACGGTTAGAAAATAATATATGTGCTAAGCATTAATGAATTACAAATGTATTTCATTATGCCAATAGTGGTACTCCTAAAGGCACAGCAATTCGCGATAATTTTGAGGTACTTTTTTACCATTGAATAGTGGAAATGATAGAATTAGCGCATGGTGACAGAAGGAGTTATGTAAGAACCAGGCGGTTACGGACACTATCGCGTGCGCTGAGCCATAAGGAACGGAGCCACATGAGCTTGTGATTTTCATTATAGACCTTTATCACCTGAGCCTCTTCCCAGACACTTCTGTAGCGGCCATCATTTTTTTGTCTCATGGGAAGCATGGAATTTTTCCGCTAAAACACGGAAATTATGTTCCCATCTTGTCGCCTGCACTCCTACCAAATTTGAACTTTCTAGGTCTATGGGACAGGAGTTATGAATTTTCGCCCAAACCGCGCCCCCTGTGGGCGGAGTCCGGTCCTGCAACCCACCATAAGTGTTCCCATTCTATCGCCTGTACTCCCACCAAGTTTGAACTTTCTAGGTCCATGAGGACAGGAGTTATGGATTTTCGTATATAAATGTAAGAAACGGTGTGCTTCGAGACACGCCCCGCCCATTGTGGGCAAGCCTCCGCTGACGTCCTTCATGCTGGAGACACCTCCAACAAAGCTCCCCCTAAATCAACTGTTTCGTGCTCTGTTGGCTTTCTCTACACCGAGTTGTAAATGTTTTTTCAAAGCATTGCATTTTTGGAGAACGCCCCGCCCATCGGGGGTGGGTCTAACTAGTTCGATCTAACTTACTAATGCACACCTCTAACCACCTTACACCCCAGTTTTGAAGCCGTCTCGTGGCTGAATTTGAAATCATGGTCCTCAGCACAGCTCATTTCGAGCACGTCACGCCCACTGTGGGCGGGGCTTCGCCAAGCTGATGTGTGCTGTATACTTCTCGGGCCACGGCCCACCCATCCCACGCTTAACCCGGTCTCTCCAGGCAGATCTAAAGGAGCTAAGCAATTTCGTGACAGACAGAACGACAGACGAAGCGCTTTATAGTAAGTAGGATACTTGGAACTTCAGAAAGAATGTCAGAGATAATGACGACGAAAATGGTGTACGGACAGGCCTCTAATCCTGCGCAATCGCCTAAAATATTGTAAACTGTATCCCTACTGCCCGAAGCTGCTTTCCATTGCCTCTAGGGGATGCGACTGGCTGTATTTATATTTTCACCAATCGGATCACCTGGCCCACGCCAGTTTCTGCTTCTTTTCGTATTAAAGTTGACCTGCCGCTCGCAGCCCTTCCGAATAGGCGCCGACACACATATTCACGTACCTTGCGCATAAACCCAAGCATGCACAACCTCGCAACACCAGCGAACCAACAGACACATTCTCGCGTGATACATATAGAAGAGGATGCTCTGCAACCTCCACTATTTTTCTTCTGCGTTATTTTTTGCACTGTCGTAATATAAAAGAACAGGATGGTTTTGTTTCACATGTACGCGTGTCCCTAGACATAGTATAGTCTACCAGGGGTATTCCGATCTATTTGGTTTTTTTTGAACCGTTGTTTCTAAAGAGAAGAGGTATAAACAAAGTTTTCATAACTCTCTATTTAGCTTGTCTTGCAACCTCATAGCACCCCCACGTGCCGTGCTTCAGGACCTCCAATTTATCTTACAAGGGAAGGATACTTGGTCGCAGAGGCCATTTAAGATGAGATGTATACCGTCGTAGGTAGTTTCAAACGCTGATCTCAAATCTGTGTTCCAAATCTGCTAAACGATT